ACATACTTCTACGTTACTGGTTCTACTGGAATGTCTTGCAGATAGGCTTATGAGCTATTAGTATTGCGCGCTTTTCAATTAACTCACAGAAGTATTTGAGAGCATACATCATTTGTTTATCCTCGAGGTTGAGAGATTCCTTAAGAGTAGAGTAGTCAACTTCTGCTTTAGTACTTCCGAGTTGCTTAATAAAGCTCGGTTCATTGTATTGTATACAGTTAGTAATACGCACTGCTTACGTTAAGATGGGGTCGTTCTCTTTTCAAAACTCAGCATTAACGCTTGCGTACCCTTACCTTGTCTAACTTTCACTGCATCATCCTCATTACTAGAGTGGTTGCTCCCTAGTGACGTGCTGGTATAGTGATTCCTGAGGGGTTACTGCCAGGATTACTTGGCAGATATTATGAGGTTGTTATGCCTCATCAATTGTCATACGATCAAACATTCGTTCAGAGTTAGGTCTGTCCAAATGGTGATCAATTTATGGTTTTAGATGTTTTGCAGATTTTGGCTGGCCAGGGGGGTACTCGGGTAGAGAAAAGTATATACCTCTCTATCCACATAAATTGGCTCACATTGAATCATTGAAATCAATTGTGGCAACCATTTATCCGAATTTTATATAAATCTATCTGAAACGCATCAGCTTCTGAGTGTTCCAGAGTTTGGTATCGCGGCAGTTGCGCATTGTGATGAGCTGCAAACATATCTATTGTATGTGGTCCATATATGTTGTCTGCGATATTGAACCATCTAGGATTGGCCATACGATCCTTAGCTAGTAACTTCCGAACCATCTTTTTGAAGTCCGGTACAAAGCTTGACAGCATTGTATACCATAATATGTGTTGTGCCAAATACAACTTTTGCGATCGAGTTAGATTTCATGTCCTTTAGGTGTTACAATGATTTCTGATCGCACAGCACGTTAAAGTGTGTGCCATATAGGTAGTTCATAAAACGAGTGAGTGCAGTCACAATAGCTAATAGCTCTTGTTGCACCGTCAGGTAATTGATCTGAGACGAGTTCATAGCCCTGCTAAAGAACTGTACATATCTTGGTTTCCCATCAATCATTTGATGCAGAACGCCTCCGAGTGCCATGTCGGATGCATCTGTCGCCAATATAAACGGTATTCTATCCTTTGGTGGCTGAACTACAGGTGCTTGCCGAACCACTGTTTTGAGCTGCTTAAAGGCATCATCACAGTATTTGGTCCACAACGCTCCTAATTTACCTTTTTTGACATCTCAAATGCCCAAACGGGTTAAGGTAACTTACTAAGTGTGGAACCCCATCAGACAAAAAGTTGACGAAGCCACACATACTGTCTACATCCTTGCATGTGGTAGGAGCTCTCCAGTCTAGCAAGTGTTCTACTTTCCCTGGGTCGATCATGGTCCCTTCCCCAGAAACGCAGTAGCCCAACAGTTGAATCCCGTTAATGATAAATTGAAATTTCTTGCGGTTAATAATTGAAGTTTTGTTGTTGTTTAATCTATCTAGGACTTCGCGCATAACTGTTTCGTGTTACTCTTTGGTCTTGGTAAATACAACTATTTCGTCAATATATTTTTACAATTATCCATATCTCGAAACAAATCTTGCATGATCTGTTGAAAGAAGGTTGGCAACATGTGCAAACCGAAAGGTGCACCCTTAAATGAATAATGGAGTCCATCCCAGGTGAAGGTAAAATACTTCTAATGCGGCTTGCAGATCTTCATCTGGTGACAGCCCTGCTTCGATGGTGGAAAATATCTTGGCTCCCTCCATGCGCCTCAGCAATTCATTTATCCTCAATAGGTGAAAATTGAGTGCTAATATCAGCCCATTGATTGGGCTCATATCCAAACACACTCGAACCTTCGTAAGCGTTCCGTCAGAGTTAAATTAGTCGACTGCCAAGAGAGCTAGGTTGACTGGAGCTGGTTCGTAGTTGAGTGCGATCACCCTATCATCTAACCATGCCTTCATCTGTTCACGTACGACTTGCTCATGACGCCATATATCATGAATTTAGGCTAGTCCATGATCTTGATCTTGTCCTTCTCAAAAACTAGATGCTTAAGTTTCTACGTGAGTTTTATCTCTTTCACGGTCTTCGAAGGTTTATACACCGGCACCAATAAGTTATCGTCCGACTGGTCCTTCTGCGGGTCAATGTTGGTAGGTAAACCGGTAATTGTACTACCTAACGACAACAAATCTCCCATACATACTAATAAAGCATAATCCGGATATGTGTTACAAAGGACGGCTTTCGTCACGGTAGTACGCTGATCTGTCAATGTAAACCTAAGATCAACCGCCATGTCTCGACACGTGATCTCCCTTTCATCTGCTAACTTTAACATAGTTGGGTTCTGATATACGAGATACATCCGTCATCTTACAGAAACGTGATGATATACATGAAATTTGCGAGCCCAGATCCACCAATACTTTTATTTCATACCCATTAACTAGTACATCTAGGATGACTCGCTCATCTTGCGGTGCATCTTTGTGTCTTTGTGACAAAACACGGTAAGATTGTCACTTAATGTCGACCTTAGGTTGTACTTTACAGGGATGCTTACGGTATCCTCCAGTCCCGGCACAGTCAGCACACTTCGCGACGAAATATTTATACTTGTCCGCATGCTTTCCGTTCCAACGCCCATTCGGTTCGTGTTGGGTCATTATCCAATTGCAATCAACCTCGCTACAGTTCTTGATTTCCTTATACCTAGGCTTAGGGAGTACTGTGGGCTGGACAGCCTTGCCTACATGGCTGTCTTTTGTGTTGACATTGATCTTGTGCCAATCAGAACCTTGTACATACTTGTTCTTATGACCACTCATGTCTCCACCTTTGCTTCCCTTGTGACCTCCAGTTGCTGACTGAGAGTCTCGACCATTACCTGATCCTCCCGTTGTATTGGTGGCAACCTTCTTGTGAGGTTGCATGAATTTTACCACAGAACTTTGACGCTTTGTTCAGGTCTGATCTGCCCGCGAATAAAATTCAGCCCAAGTCAGGTCTGCGAGTTTCATAATATCGTAGGTAGCTCTTTCGATGGAAATCTCGCGTACCTTGTCAGGGTAAGATTGCTGCACGTCGGCATATAATATCTCCTGATTATTTCTGTGAAGAGTATACCAAAAGAGTGTCTGTACCCACAGCACACACATGCTCTACTTATCAGTTGACAGCTTCTTAGTTTGAGTACGTGACATATGTGTGTCCAACTCCAATAGGTAGTGTGACACGGGCGTTCCTTCGTCTGGTGGTACCATGATAGATACCAACACTTCCGGTCGAGAGTCCGTCGTGAATAGATGCACGACTATGTCGCTCTGCTCTTTCCACGTTTTCAGCTTGTTAATAGCCACGTTAGCCTTCTCCAACTTATTGTATTTATAGGAAGAAGGTTTAAAGCTCTGTTGTGTTACCTCGAACTATAGGTTCTTACGTAGATTTGCATGAGCATGATCTGTCCAAACTCTTTTAGGGATCTAAATAACAACGTCATACTGCCTGTATCGATTGGGTCCTTATGGTCCTACCGATCTCAGGTCTGCATGTCGTTGGTAGTTTACTTATGTCATTTACAAACTTCTTGCCTTCCACAGCCTTCTCCGTTTGAATCACCCGTAGCTCAGAATCAATCTTCGTCTGGAAGTGCGTAGCCATTGACATGTAAAGACTAGCTACATCTATCCTGTCTTGATCCATCGCTGCGAGTGATGCAGCTTTTGCCTTGTTCATACGGACTATAAAGTCAGCGATCTATAAATGACTACTTGTCTGATCTGATCCAGTCTGCTCTAATTGTAACTGACCAGAAAGTCACTTCTTTACCTCCTCCTTTGATCCACCAGGTGCATCGACTGTTTTGGCCGTCACCACGGAAACTACCGGGGGTGGCGTACTGTCTCCATTTGATAGCGATTGACTCTCAGCCTGGGCTTGCGCCGGGACTGGTCCTCCATCTTCCTGTGCTTGATATATTTTCTCTTGCTTAGAAACTACTCGTGACTTGAAACTTATATATCCTTCAGTGCTCGATGGTGATTGCTGGGCTTCAGATGATGAAGTCCGAATCCTCTTCGGCTCTCCCTTATCTGACAGTAACTCGAAATCTACTAGCGCCTCATACAATGCTAGGTGATTTGATATCAAATCGGGAAAATCGAGTAGCGCATCCCGAATTGCATACCCGACCATATTAGAACAACTTATGTCTCTCTTAGTCCCGAATACTTCAGGTAGCACTTTCGG